AAGGTCCTTATTATAAGGGTGCCGTAGAATTCTGGGGGGCCTACAAAGGGACCCGAATTTGGAGTACTACCCATTTGCTTGCTGCGATTATGGCTATTATCACTGCAGCCGCTTGATGCTGAGACCTCCCTCCCCAGAGAGCTTAATACCCCTTGATTAAGGAATGTACCTTAAATTATAGGGTCCTTAATATTATGGTCTAAGCTAGATTCCTTAATTAAGGGGTGTGGGGTTCTCTGGGTCTTGAAGCATTGAAAGGATTTTGATGGAATGGAGACATGTTCGTTTAGGATTTAGAGTTCAGGGTTTTAGGGTGCAGGTGGTGGGGGGGGCATCTAAAGTCGAATCTTTGTATATGTCGCAAGCCCAAGAATGGCAGTCCATGTTACCAAGGTCATATCTTTGTTTTCGTCGTACGCCCCAGGGGTGCTAGTCGGGCCGATGTATTGCAACTTACACATAAGAACTGCTTGTTCCAGTATTCAGAAGGCAATGCCTAAGAGCTGAGTTTGTTTAGCGTTTTGGAGGGTTTGAAATTTATTTTCTTTTGACCTTGACGAAGGTAGCTTTACATTCTACACCGCCTCATTCCAAAATGAGTCTGTGTCACCATCCCTTATAACACGAGGCTATGCCAGCTGCTACACCTAAACCGGCTATATTGAGCTTAACCCTAAACCCTAAACCCTAAACCATAATGATGTCCCTTTGCTTGCCCGGCCAATCCTTCGGGCGCCTTGCTGTTTCTGGAAGTTGCACGACGCAGAAGCTTCCACAAGACCCGCTCCAGTCGCAGCCAGTCCAAGGCAAAGCATGAAAACACGGCAGGCACAGTGGTAGACACTGCACGCAGCGTGCAGTTTGAGCAAATCGGGACAGGTTCAGGGCGCAACGCGACATGCAGTTTGGTGTGTGTCGTGATGCAGGGGTGCTCCGCCGCATCTTCAGACGAGACCAGAAACAGCCTGCTTAATTTGCCTGGCACCTGCACGGAATGGCGTCTAAAGATGATGCGCTGACCTGCAACAGCCACGCGGACTTGACTCGGACTTTCGCGCTTGTTTGGTTCTTCAGTTGCTGGGTTTAGGGTTTAGGGTTTAGGGTTTAGGGTTTCGGGTTGAACCAGGTAAACAAGAATCCCAAAGGGTCCAAGTACTAGTATAGTATATACTTTTGGGGCCCAAATACCTACTAAGTACCTACTATAATGGGACTTGGACCCTTTGGGACTATGATCCCTAAACCCTAAACCCTAAACCCTAACCCCTAAACACTGTGCTGCAGACTGGTCAGGGTACTATATTAGGGTCCCCTATTTTCTGAAATCCCCATGTATCTCCACCAGCCCTGACATCTGACTTACATGCGTTCACTGTGCATGTGCATTTGTCATTTTGATCTCCTGCTGCTTGGAGATGCGTGTTGCCCTTGCTTCACTGTCATTTCGGTGGCGTGGATGTTGTTCATGTTCAGGCTGGTAGGATTTATTGCTCCAGGCGATGGCTCAGATTCAGACGGAGCATGCCAGACAAGCAGGCATCGGCACTCCATTACCGGGCGGGGTGTGCGGTCGGGTTATAGGCCTGGGCTTTGGAGTACCATACTTTAATACTTTTTTTGGGACCTGTTCCTTAAAGGAGCCATTATGAAATAAAAGTCTATACTTTTTTCTCCCTGGTTACTTCAAAGCCCAGAGGCTTATTTCCTAAACCCTTACCCCGAACGACATCCCAAACCGAAGTGCACGATGAATCCCTTCGCGGACCTGCGGAACTGCAGAAACAAAGTCAAGCTGGAGTCCATGTGACTTATAAAAAGGACCCTTAAAAGGGACAAGAACGATACAGAAATCTAATCTCGGAAGTCTGAAAGCTTTTCATTGAGTCTGCTGGACAGGTGTGGCTTGGCTGAGTGGCTGGCCGTGCTGCGGCAAGAGTTCGGGGCGCGGCTGCTTTTCCTCCTGCTTCTTGCATGTGAGGGTTTAGGGTTTAGGGTTTAGGGTTTAGGGATTGATGCAATATGTGGCCCGGGAAAAACGAAAGCTATAGGCGTTTCAACAGGTAGAGTACTTGTGAAGATTGATGTACTATGTGCCCTTCAGGACTACATAATAATACTGTTGATGGACGAAATTCTGCATGACCCAAATTTAGTATAGTACCATAAATCCCATAGTTTATGTACATAAGGTCATGCAGGATTTTGTCCATCAACCGGACGGTCCCTGGAAGCCTAGGGTAAGAACTCGACTAAAGCCCACGGATTTCTGGTTCCTACGTCAAGGGGCTTGGAGCCACCAAGCTCGGCCTCAAGGCCCTGGTTTCTCCATTCCCGATACGTATGCATGTGTATGTATATATATTTAAAAATTTAGGGTTTAGGGTTTAGGGTTTAGGGTTTAGGGTTTAGGGTTTAGGTTTACATATGCATACACACACACATATATATGTATATATTATATATGCATATGTAATTATATATACATATATATGCAGATAGAAGTATTGATAGATGAGTAGATAGGTAAATAAGCAAAAAAGATAGATAGAATGTCATAGTATACCGTGGCATACTATGCTCTTTTGAACACCATCAATCCTTTCAACCCCAAATCCACGGCCTGAGCAGTAAACCCTCTATCGCATATTCGAGGTCTTAGCCTCGAATCCTCAAACCCAACCCCCGACTTCCTCCAGAATAATAACCATTGCTATTACTATTGTTATTATCACTATCATATCAGTACTATATTATTGCGATCTATTATATCAAGTACACTCTTACTATTGTGTTCATTAATACTCTTATTCGTGTGAGGTTCGCCATCCAGCATCTCATCAAGGGCTTGGGTGCTACAATTGGTGGCCAAGCCAACCCCTATCTTTGCAAGGAGTACCATGTGCAGGGGGCTCGGCTCTACCGGTTTGGGGTTTAGGCTTTAGGGCAAACCCTGAATCCCTGAAGCCCTCAAACCTTTTGTAGAGTTAAGGGTTTAGGGTAAACCCTAAACCCAACACCCTAAAGCCCTGAAGAGCTGAAGTCCTCAACCCTTAAACCCTCACATGGTGTTTGGACTATTGTTGGTTTTGGACTTCTTGTAGGACTGACTTTCTCCGGGGCACACTCCGTAAAACTAGCAAAACCCAGGGGCCGTTTTCCCCCAAACCCTCAAATCTTCTGTAGGGTGTGGGGTTTAGGGTTTAGGGTCAGGTTCCTGCCGGATGCTGGGTGGCCGAAGTGCGAGTCCAAGTCCTACAAGAGAACCTTTGGTCTCAAACATCAAGCTTAGAGCAAGCATCCCTAATGTAGAGGCCTAAATAACTACCAATACTTTTTTTTTGGGGGGGTGGGGGTCCTTATTATGGTTATAGTTATAGTATAATGGGCTCCAAAACCCTCTTCTTATTATAAAGGCCCCTAAGCTAGATGCCTCAGAATATACTTGACTAGCGATTTAGTATCACATGCTTTGTAATCAGTTAAGATACTATATGCTTGTATATGCATGTCACATGTGCGCAGCTAAACCCTAAACCCTACCCTAAACCCTAAACCCTATTCTGCCTCAGGTCGGCGCAGGA